CGTCTCAAAGGGGCACTTACTGGCTGAGTCACACCTTGCAAATGTGCACAGCCCTATTCTCTGAATGAATGGCAAGTACCCTTCGTTTGTCCTGGTTAAATATTACCATTCTCTGAACATAGGATTATCCTACACATAGTGGCTCCAGAGAAAAATTAACAGAAGTAGAGTCTAAATTCACCTGAATCTCCAGCCAAATTCTAACAAGTCTGGCTCCAGGTGCAAACCATAAAGGCAAGAATATTCCCATCTGGGCAGCTTTCTGGAGTTAGCCCTAAGATATAAAAACCTTGACACTCTCAAATTTCTTAAGACAATGCTCCTGTTCCATAGGACAGTTGTACCAGGTCCACTCATGATTCTAAGAATTCCCAAAGTAACAGTTAAAACTGGAGCCAACCCTCTCTGGGAAGTGGCAAAGTCCTCATGTCTATGCAGAGAACTTCATGTAACTTTCTTCACACCCAAATCACTTTTCTGCCACCACCTTCTCCTCCCACAGGAGAAAAATGTTTCAAATCCTTGAGAAGCAATCACAGCACTGAGATTATCTTTTAACTGCAAGGAGGCAATGTGTGAAAGTGAGATTGTGATTTGGCAACTCTGAACACTGAAAGGCTTCCTCTGTTCAGCATCACCACCTCTTCTACTCCCCCTCTTGAGATCACTGTTCTCTGTCTGGGAAAATCTGGCAAAAGGACCAACTAAGAAAGCAGCTCTGGCATTTGCCTGGGTGGTCTGACTTTTACCAACTACGAAAAATAAAATGTACAGTACAGTGCCTCCCTTTAGCTTTCCACTTCTTCAATACCTGACAAGACTTAGTGAGAAACTTTACTTTGGGGGCAGACACCCTAGAATCTTTCCACAGCAGGAACCCAAATACCCAGAAGTACCAAGCAGACAAGCCATAATTAACAGAGGCATTAGGGGTGTGCCAGTGGAGGTTGTGAAATGGTCAACACTTGGCTTGCAGTTTTCTGCTTCCTCCTAGGAGTTTGGTAAGCCTCTGCTGCACTCTTGTGACTTTCCACACATAGTTTTTACTTTGCAGGAAGTTTTCTAATAATCCCAACTATAACCACACTTAAGGAAGGGGTCCATAAAAGCCCATGGGGTGTGAATAGGGGCTTGATAAAAAACTTGGATGAGGGAGTCAATAATGCACTGGGAGTTTCACTGGCTTTCACAAGAGTAAGAAACGAGGTTCCAGTTGAATAACTTGAGAAATGCTGGGTCAAATAAAGTTGAGCAGATTTCTTTATTTTATGATTTCTCAACAAACTAATAAGACTTGTTACCTTCAAGAAAGATGGAATAGGCTGGGTGCGATGGCACATGCCTGTAATCCCAGTAACTTGGGAGGCTGAGGCAGGAGGAACACAAGTTCAAGGCCAGCTTCAGCAACTTAGCAAAGCCCTAAATAGCTTAGTGAAACCCTGTCTCAAATAAAAAATAAAAATAAAAAGGTCTTTGGGGATGTGGCTCAGTGATTAARTGTCCTGGGTTAAATCTCCAATACCAGGAAAAAAAAATAAAAGGAATACATAGGGATTCCCAAACCTATCTGACCACCTTTCAAAACTACCATTACMCAAAACATATACTGGTTTAAACTACTACCTTAAAAAAGCACAATAAGGGGGCTGGGGTTGTGGCTCAATGGTGGAACATTTGCCTGGCATGTGTGAGGCACTGGGTTTGATTCTCAGCACCACATATAAATAAATGAATAAAATAAAGGTCCATCAACAACTAAAAACTACATCTTTTTTTTTTTTTTTTTTTAAAAAGGACACACTAAGGGTTGAGCTCAGCAGCAGAGTATACGCTTAACAAACTTGACAATTCTGGATTCAATTCCGTGTGTGTGTGTGTGTGTGTGTGTGTGTGTGTTGTGCGCGCATGCGTGCCCTAGCACATAAAACCCACATAATAAATCTGTATTATTTCATCCCTTTCACCCTAAGGGTTGGGGAGAGCATAGCTAATAATAATTGGCTATTTTCACCACTACCAGTACTCCAATTTCTAGAATGGTGATAATAGTAATGATGTTACACTCTTTCCTTAGCTAGCCTAAAATAACCTCAAAACAGTTTAATGTCTAAGATTCAAAAACCTTTAAAACAACCAGGTGTATGKTTCACACCTGTAATCCCARGGACTGAGGCAAGAGGATTGCAGGTTCGAAGCCAGCCTCAGCAACTCAGCAAGGTTGTAAGCAACCTAGAAAGACCCTATTTCAAAATAAAAAATAAAAATGGCTGTGGCTGGGGATAAGTGGGTAAACGCCCTTGGGATCAATCCCTGGTACAAAGAAAACAAAAAACTTTTAAAATAGTACTGTCCTCAGAATGAAGCCCAGGTCTAAGCCTCTTCCCATCACTACTTTACTGGTGACTCTGGCATGTTTTAGTTTCCATATCATGAAACTGAAAAGGTTAAAACAAATTTCTAACCTTGTTCCCATTTCTAGCAGTTAACCATGGACTCTGAACACTAAGTATATTTTTGCAATCCTCCATTATATGACAAGACAGGGAAAAAAAAAAAAAACTGTTCTGGAGGCCGACTAGGTGTGACAGTTTCTGAGTCTATCGCCTATCCACCTGCTCTTTCCTGAGCTCTGTGCCAACACCTTAAGTAAATGAAGCTGGGTTCACACCCAGTCTCCCAAGGGCTGCACCCTTCCAATGTCCCAGCCTTGACAGTCAGGGAAGCAATTTCATCTTAAGGAAAGAGAGGGAAGCTGTGACCACAAGGAGGACACTGGGGGCCACATATCCAAAGCTGGTTATTTATTTATTTTTGATACCAGGGATTGAACCCAGGGGTGCTTACCCACTGAGCTACATCCCCAGCTCTTTTTATTTTTAGACAGAGTCTTACTAAGTTGCTGAGGCTGGTTCTGAACTTGCAATCTTCCTGCCTCAGCCTCCCAGCCCCTGGGATTAYAGGCATTCACCATCATACCCAGCTCCAAAGCACTTTCTCTCTACACAACTGCAAGCCACGAATTAGGCACACAYCTATAATCCCATCCACCCAGAAGATCCTGTTTCAGAAACAAAACAAACACAAAATGATGGGGATGTAGCTCAGTGGTAAAAGGCCCCTGGGTTCAATTCCCAATGCTAAAAACTAAAATCAGCACAGGATGAGGGGGAGCAGTACTACAGCCAGCCAGTTTTCTTCTTCTCATACAAGGTTCCCTACCAGATGTTGCTGGTTTATATGCTAACAGCTGCTTCCTGTCCTGCTATATCCGGGGGCTGTCTGATGGGCAGACTATCTTGCTTGAATGCAGAAGTTATTTCTCTCTCAGTTTGCACAATCATTTCTGGGACCAGAGATGTGGTTTAAGACTTTCAAGGAGCTATTARTAAAGGTCAAAATAATCCTGCTACTGCTAACAATGAAGAAAAGCTCTCTGCTTCTTTGGATGGCCAACTGCTTCTGATGTCAGCAGAAACTGTGATCCTGACAGGACAACCCCCACCCCAATAAAAAACAAAACMAAACAAAACCACCCATTTTAAAAAGCTACTGGAGCCTTCCTAGTATTATGCAGAAGTTTTATAATTAAAGCAAAACTGTTACAATTGGCATTGACAGGAAAAAATGCAAATGTTCTTTCCTTACCCAACTAATAACGATGACTTATATAAGAGACACGGTCTCTGCAAGAGCTCTGTCAAGAAGCATTAAGCTACGAGGAATGTTCAGAATTCTCCAATGTTATAAGGAACGAGCTACCAAAATATGCCTTGAGGGTTTCCATCGGCTAAAAGTCACCTTGAAACCATGAAAGAATCATAAAATTTTCACTTTCCTGATAATATATAATCATTTAGTTCAAGTCTCTTTTGCTCTGACCTTTGAAGAGATTCAAGGTGGGAAAGCTCATGCTGTGAGTCACAGGAAGGACCCCTCCAAGGATTTCCCTGATAACTGCAGGAAACTTTGAAGCTGCCAATGACCAAAATAAAGTACAAACTAAAATAAAGTGGCAACCTGACAGAGCAGAAACATCTGTGCTCATAAATCACTAGTCAGCACAAGTTGGCTTCTTTAAAACTGTTCAGACACAAAAGAGGCACAGGTGCCATGCAGCTAATAGGAGTTCAGGCGTTTCACTGGCAAAAGAACATCCTTGTGCTTTGCTCAAAAGCAGGAAGGTTTCAGCTTTAGATAGGAAGACTGTTTCTTTCTTGAGTGTTTGTTCCAAAGGTCAGGCCCAGTTCATAGGACAGTCTCAATTACCCTGTCCTACACTTAGGTCCATCAGAACAACATTCTTTTGCTTCAAGACTCTTCCTGGGCTCTCCTATCCTCTAAAACCCACCCCAAACTAGACCCACAGCCAAGGTGTGGAAATTATTAAGGCTATTTTAAAATTGAGAGGCATTGGAAATGGCTTCAAATGTCACAAAACTCGAGCTATATCTACCTACCCTCTCCTATTATTTTTTTTCCTAATAAACATCAGGGAGTCTCCTATACTTTACATGCTAGTTTAGCTGCTGGTGGTGGGGGTGGAGCGTGCTTTGGTTTTCTCACATTTCTCCATCACCATAGGCTTCTAAGTTCCTCATCATGTTGCTGTCACCTCCTGAGGTGACTCAAGACAGGTGTCTTTTCAAGACTGCAGAAATGTAATAATCATATTATGCTACCCTCCCTGACACTAAGGGATCTCCCAAGGGTCCGACTGCCTGCTCCAGTACCCTTCTCCACAGTGAAGGGCCAAATCAGAAGGACTACGTCCCCAGGTGCTTGAAGATCCCACCTCTACCAAAGCTGCAGCGCCCCGCCCCCTTCGCARTTCCACCTGCTGCTAGTCCCGCCCCCAGACGCTATGATAGGTCTTCCCTCAGAGCTCGCTCTCCCATTGGACAAATAGCCCGTCCCTCCTACGCCACGTCTCTCGGCTCTGGCGAAAAAGGCCCGGGCGGCGGCCCTTGGTTCTAAATAGATCTGTAAGTTGGGGGTCCTACCTGGAAGGGGTTTACGTCCACTGGGTCCGCAAATGGGTTGGTGTCGAAGGCCGACATGGCGGTCGGGGGCCAGCGGGCAAGCTCCGCGAGCGCTGCTGCCTCCGGGAACCCAGACCCAGCGGCGCTCTGTCTAGATCCTCCACTTCCGGGAGTGAGACAACCGTTCTAGCGCAGGCGCAGCGCCCGCCCAGGGGGCGTGTCCCTGYAACGTCACAGAGGCCCACTCCGCCTCCTGCCCAGCCCACTTGAGAACTATGGGTGGGCTTTCTGTTTCCATCCACGTCTTCGCTGTGTAGATGCTTCCAGGGTTGGGGTAGCACAGAAGAAGTAGGACCCAGGGGCCGGATCCGAGTCATTCCCAACTGTCTCAGTCTGATACCTTCCAACTTTGAGTTTCCAAAGTAAACTCTCAAAAGTGAGACAGGACTTTCYCTAGAGTGCAAATTTGGAAATTCTACATAGTTTCAAGGGCAGGGGACAAGAGTAAGAAGTCAAGCAGAAGGGTTCYCCTTTGAAGAACAATCCTCCAAGAAAGAGAAAGACGAGGACTGTGCAGCTCCTTTTAGGGATAAGGATTTCTTGACCCACACGGTGGGAATTTGAACCTGGTCATCAGGCATTTATTAAGTGAACGAGGGAGTTCAGTAATGGATTTTCAGTCATAGAGGAGWTGGCTAATTCACTCCCCACAAGTTCAACTTTTTTATTCTCGTCTTTCTGGCTTTGTTCATTTCTGCTGTGTAATCCAATTACTATAATTTCTTAACCTGGACTAGAACAAAGCTGCTAATTGGTCTATGGTTATTCATGTTGCAACCAGAGATCTTTTTTTTTTTTTTTGAAATGGGGTCTCCCTATGTTAATTAGACTGATCTCTAACTCCTGGGTTCAAGTGGTAACTCCCATCTCGGCCTCCTTACTTAGCTAGGACTAAAGTGTGCACCACCATGCCCAGCTCCATAGATCTATTTAAAGGAAATAAAATCATAAAACCTGTTGTTTAATTTTTATACAGATTAAGTTCTCAATTTGGCCTCAAGGTATGGCAGGATCTGCTCCCACCTATCCTCCTTCCCAACCTTTTCTCCTGCCCAGCCTCCTGCATTCCATCCTTTCTAGTAGCTTTTCAGTTCCTCCGACTTGTGTCTGTCSGGGCCTTTGCACTGACTGGTATGCCTTTACCTCCTACCTCACAATTATTCTCTAATTAATCTTTTAAGGGCTGGAGATGTAGCTCAACCATAGAATGCTTGCTTAGCATGCATGAGGCCTGGGTTCAACTCCTAGTTCCATAGAGCAAAAAAAGAAATGGTACTCAAATTTTTCTTCAAATCTAAGCCTCAGGCTCTTTCTTCTCTTGATTAGATCAACCCATCATGCATTATAAGCTATCATATTTCTCTGTACTTTTCCTTTATAATGCTGGTTGCAGATTGTAATTACACATGTGTATAATGCATATTTGTTTATGTATGTCTCCTTCATTAGACATAACCTCCACAGGGGCAGAGGTGAAGTCTCTTTTGCTAACTGTTGTATTTTTGGCACTAATATAGTATCAAACACATGATAGGCATTTGGTGAATATTTAATTTTTCTTTCACCAACTTCCTCTCCTTTAAGCCCCAACTATCTGTAAAGGTTCAATTGAACTTTTCTCTGGGAAATATCCTCAAGTGGGAGGATGGGATGTGTGTCCCCTTTGAAAGTGCCTACCTTTCAGTCTCTATGGCACYCCTCCAAAGGCAGAGAAATTTGCTATCTGTGGCCTGAGACAAGAACAATCTATATAGCCTAAGGCTTTCCTAACCTCCTCCTGGACTGCTGCAACCTAGTACAGTGCTGAGCTGGTAAGGAAGGAATGAAATTGATTATAACCAATGTGGAGGCTTCCCACCCATCTGTCCTAGGCTCTGTCCACTTTCCTGTGAGAAACCAGAGACTATTCATTTTTTCACTTTTTTTTTTTTTTTTTTTGTACTGGGGATTGTGCCTAGGAGTTTGCACACGCTGGGCAAGTACTCTATCATTGAGCTACACCATCTGCCCCTTTTATTTTTTACTTTTTAATTTTTTTTAGTTGTAGATGGACACATACCTTTATTTTATTGATTTTTATGTGGTGCTGAGGATSGAACCCAGTGCCTCAACTGTGAGAGGCAAGCGCTTTATCACTGAGCCACAACCCCAGCCCTGCCCCCTTTTATTTTTGAGATGGGATCTTGCTCAGTTGCCTAGGTTGGCCTCAAACTTGTGATGCTCCTGCCTCAGCCTCCCAGGTAGCTGGATTACAGACATGCACCATGTCTCATTTATTCAGTAAGGAAGGAGATAGCAACATGGAACTCTGTGCCTTGGAAGAGTTACTTCACCTTATTGAGACCAATTTTTCTCAGCTCTAAAATGGGGCTGGTGGGCTGGGAATATAACTCAATGGTAGAGAGCTTGCCTAGCATGCACAGGGCCCTGAGCCTTGATTMGGTCCCCAGCACCACCCACACACAAACCATTAAATTGGTGCTAGGGACAGTGTGTATCTCTTAGGATTGTCTTGAGAATTGATGGGAAAACTCTTTTTTTTTCCTCCCTCTACTCTTGGAGTCACTCAATACTTTTTTTTTTTAATCCAGGGCCTTGTGCATGCTAGGTGCTCCACCACTGAGCTATATCCCCACTGAGCTATGTCCCAGCATTCAACACAGCACTTCTGACATCAGATGCAGCAGTTGTTTCTCTAAACACGAAGCACTTCTCCAGTGGACACCAACTGAGTGTTCTATAATTCAACTCAATTCCAACACTATCCTCCTGGAGATAGATAGTTCCCAAGTCAGTCCCACAGGTGAGTTTACAAAACTGCTCCTCACACTTCACATATCCCAGGTTGTTTTACCTGTGCTTCTGTCTGGCTATAAATCAGGGTTCCCATGACCTCCTCCTTAAGTTCAACAGATTTGCTAGAGTGGTTCYCAGAACTCAATGAAACATTTATCAGTTCTTTGTGTTGTTTTTTGATATCACGGATTAAACCCAGGGATGTTTAACCACTGAACCACATCCCCAGCCCTTTTTATTGTTTTATTTAGAGACACAGTCTTGCTGAGTTGCTTAGGGCTTGCTAAGTTGCTGAGGCTGGCTTTGAACTCATAATCCTCCTGCCTCAGCCTCCCAAGCTGCTGGCAGTACAGGTGGGTACCACTACCCAGCACTTTATCAGTTTATTATAAAGAATATTACAAAAGAGGGCTGGGGTTATGGCTCAGAGGTAGAGTGCTCTCCTAGCATGTGTAAGGCACTGGGTTCAATCTTCAGCACCTTTATTTTAAAAATAAAATAAAGGTGTTGTGTCCACCTACAACTAAAAAAAGAAATAAATATTTTTTGGGGGGCTGGTGTTGTGGCTCAGTGGTAGAGCTCTCGCCTGGTGCGTGCAAGGCCCTGGGTTTGATTCTGAGCACCACATAAAAATAAATAAATAAAAATAAAGGCATTGTGTACAACTAAAAGAAATAAATATTTTTTGGGGGGCTGGTGTTGTGGCTCAGTGGTAGAGCTCTCGCCTGGTGCGTGCAAGGCCCTGGGTTTGATTCTGAGCACCACATAAAAATAAATAAATAAAAATAAAGGCATTGTGTACAACTAAAAGAAATAAATATTTTTTAAAAAATAAATATTAAAAAAAGAATATTACAAAAGAAACAGACTAACAGCTAGATGGAAGATATGAATAATGCATGACATATGGGAAGGTCCACTGAGCTTTTATGCCCTCTGCAGAGCGCCTTCCTCTAGGAACCTATATGTGTTCAAGCTATCTGGAAGCTCCCCAAATCTGGCAGGGTGTTTTTGTTTGTTTGTGGTTTTTGTTTTTGTTTTTATGCCGGCTTCATTACCAGGCATTATTGATTATTACATCATTGACCATTGGTGATCAACTCACTCTTCAGCCCATATTAGCTCCCTGGAGGCTGTGAGATTAGGGATGAAATTTCTAATCATCTAATCACTTGGTTGGTTCCCCTGTCAACCAGTCCCTATCAGAGGCTTATTCAGGAGCAAAGAGGAAAGCAGATCATCCCTAGATAATGGAATGTGGTCAGTTCTAGAAGAGCTAGACCTGCAAGAGGAAAGAGTGGAAGGTATTAAGTTCTAGAGACACCCTAGTTTCCCTTACAGACAAATCTTTCCATGTTTGTTGAAGGATATAAGGTAGAGGTTTTGTCTGACCAATAATCTAAGTTCTTCCTTTCCTGTGCAAAACTCTGGTTTTTTCTTTTTAAAAAATGTTTTTAATCATAGACAGACATAATGCCTTTATTTATTTATTTTTTAGGTGATGCTGAGAATCAAACCCAGTGTTTCACACATGCTGACTAAGCACTCTACTACTGAGCCACAACCCTAGCCCCAAGAGGTTTTGCATTTCTGAAAAGGGCTCCTCTGGTTTCTTTCTTTCTTTTTCTTTTTCTTTATTGGTGGTACTGGGGATTGGACCCAGGGCAATTCTATCACTGAGCCACAACCCAGCCCTTTTTATTTTGAGACAGGGTCTTGCTAAATTTTCCAGGCTGCCCTGAAACTCCTGCCTCCTCCCAAGTCACTAGRTTATAGGTACATGGCATCTGCCCAGCTCAGCTCTTAACTGGTTTCTTCTGTGGTGGTAATGGGAATGTTTCGAGAATCTCTGTGCTGCCAGGCATGGGGGCGTATGCCTGTATCCCAGCAGCTCAGAAGGCTCAGGAAGGTGGATCATGAATTCAAAACCAGCCTCATCAATTTAGCAAGGCCCTAAGCAACTTAGTCAGACCCTGTCTCTAAATTTAAAAAAATATTTAAAAAGGGCTGGGGTTATAGCTCAGTGGCAGAGTGCTTGCCTTGCACATGTGAGGTTCTATCCTTAGCACCACAAAAATAAGTAAATAAATAAAGATATTGTTTCTATATTAAAAGAACTCTTTTTAAAAAAGCGTGGGTAGCAAGACAAAACCAACCAACAAACAAAAAATCCCTCTGCTTAAACAAATCCCTCACTCTTATCCCAGAAAGTTGGTATTGCTGAGAGGATGGAGATAAAGTGAAGGAGGAGTATTCCAAAGTAGGAGGTATTGCGCTGTGTGAGCTATTTCCATGATTCTTTTTTTTTTTTTAAACTTTATTTTTT